CCCAAGGATGCAATTTCCGGAATATTGACTCAGAGACTTCGGATCGCTTCTAAATTGAAACCAACATGACCAATCGACTAAGCATGGTCGAAAACACCTACTTTGACCTGCTTTAAAGTAACCCAATGTCATGGGGTCGATTTCGAGACTCCAGCAGAAATGTTTATACCACCTCAACGGTCAAGCTATCAAGATGGGCCTTGCGCAGATCGAAGAGCTTGATTTTCTTTATAGACTGGCTATTCTTGGATCTAAGATCAAACAAGAATTGTTGTCAGAATACCGCTCTCGAAATGTTCAGTATAAACTGGCCAACTTGCCCACTAACTGACCAATTAAATTTCTATGTACTCCAGATTGCTATTTTGAATGGTGAAAACCGTAGATCTCTGTCTTTTTCCTATCAAAAGTTATTCAAGAAACAGTGGAGGACATTTTAAAATAAATCTGACAATACTTTGATTTTTCGCAAATAGATTGCTTAATACATATCTAAATATAAATTTTTTAGAATTTGTTATCGGTTGAAAGACATATCGTCCATGTGGAATGGTTGAACTAGAAGTAAAAGACTCCAAAATACCTGGTATGAATATTTCTTTCTTTTGATAGTCTCAAAGAAAACAAAATAAGAATTAGTATTTAATCTCTTTTTATACAGGAGTTTTACATTTTAGGAGCCGGTAAGGGTTTATATGCAAAATCTGCTATAAATGCTAATGCAATAGTTTGCATCTACAAAGGTCGAACACTACGTACGATAGATGCAATACGACAAAAAGATAAAACGTATCTCATGCGATTGGGCCCACAATGTTATGTTGATCCAAGTGACGATGTAACAATATTAGGACGTTACATAAACGATGCGAGAAATAAACGATATCAAAATGTTTATTTTGATAAACGACCAGATGAAAATTGTGCGTATGTTATTGCAAAACGAAATATTGCTAGTGGTGAAGAAATATATGCCGATTATGGACGATGGTACTGGTTAAGTAAACCTGCTACAAAACTGGAACAATGATAATGTGCATCCAGTGAGATCAGCTTCTTTTACTGGTTCTTCTTTTTTTTTTCTTGTGTGTATGTGTAAATATTATAAAGTATTTGTTTTGTTTCTCATCTTATATTTTAGTTTCTGTTTCTTTTGCATCAAATAATATACGATATACAATACGATTAATTTATAGATATAAATTTTGTGACTGAAAAAAAATCAAATTTGAGTGATTAATGAACTGTAAAACAACAAGAAAAATTGTTTATCAAATCTGCGATATTATATCCATCTTCAAGCTTGCCGGAGCTGTGAAAGCTCTAAAAGTCTTTTAAAACATTCTTCGTTTTGAATTCATTGAGATAAATGAATAAATGTACAGACACAGAATAAAATCCAGTATTCTTTTCTTTTGGTGCTGTCAAAGTTTAACTATAGGAGGAAATACCATGCTGAATTTAGGATGGGTGTGGGTACATCCACTGAAATTTTTGATTTTATAGCGCTTCTCCTGGTTTAAGAGTGAGTTAATTTATTTTATCAAAACATCCGATTTACTAACTAATTTTCTAAAAATACGCATCCATCCGGAAATTTTTCTGGATCCGCCACTGGAAAAATGATGGACGATCAACACTTAAGAAGGAAAAATGCACTCTCTTATATGTTAGAAAGATTTGGATAATACGTTTGTGTTCATGACTAGAAACTGTTTCAGATTAAAAGATTTTAGTATACGAGAGAGAAATATATATTTTTTCCTTTTTATCAATCCTTTCATTAATTTGATCCAAATGCGCGAAAAATTTAATTGAGGAAAATGAATGTTTATCTAAATCTAAGCTGAAAAATCTTGTTAGAAAGCAGTTCCGTCTAAAATTCAGTTATACTATATGTCTACATGCCGACAGATCTTCTAGATTTTCTAGTCTCTGAACGTAAACGTCCTGATTTTACTGATCGAGAAAAAAAGATCAAGAAAATTTATAGATTGAATCACGTGTAAAAATTAAAGCTGAGTTTCGTGTTTTATCGTTTATAGTTTTCTGCCATGGTGAAAGATATGAATACTTTCTCGTATGCAAATCTATTACAATCTCGTTTGCACAAGAACAGCTTGGTAAATAATTATCATATTCCGATATTCTTGTAATTTTTGTTTCTGTTTGAAGATTACTAAATAATCACGAATAATCTCATTATATTTTCCGTGTTAAATGATCCACATTCTGAAAGTTTTAGCATCTTAATCTGAGCATTCTATATGTCTGACTAATATCGTTCTGTGTTGCGATCTACCAGTAATTGTAACAGCTGATGTTCTCATAGCTTTTACCTTCGTTTTAAAAACAAGTAGCATTCATCTGCGATTCACAGATTTTTGAATGGAACCCTTTTTTTTTCTATATCGCGATAGTACAAGGGACTATCAATGCAGCAATACGGGATGGTATGAATGGAAGATGTATATTTTCTTCTTCAATACTAATGAACCTCACGCCTCCCTTCGGTTGTCACTTAAAACATCAGAAAGATATGAATTGCAACTATCCGAGGCCGTTTTGATTGATATTTTGCCGATAGGTAGGACTCATGATTCTACATAGATTCTACATGATTCTACAAAGTTGAAGAAAATTTTTCCCTTTGCCTCTTGGTTGTGGAGAAAACGAACTTTTTTGTTATTTTCAACGGCTATAGTATAAGTTGTTTTTCTTATAACTCAAGAATTAAAGGGACTTGAGAACTGAAAATTCTTTTTAGATTACATCTGTTTGATGCCTGTTTACTCTGAAAGTTTCAACTTTATCTGTCACTTGAAAGAAAAGTTATAAGATTTTTGATTTTGTTTGTTTTTCTAACGTTCTAACGTTCTAACAAAATGTGTTTTACTGAACGAAGAACGAAACTTTCTGCTAAGTTATTTATGCGACACATTCTAATTTATCTAAGCATTTTCTTTGATTACTAGTGTACTAGTATCCGATATTCAGTCATACACTTCCGGAAGCGTACAGGTTCTTGTAGTTTCGTTCATCAGTAATTAATAATAATGTAATATAAACAATGAGGAACGCATGATGAGATAGTGGTGATATGAGAAATATATTTCCGAAGGGCGAAATAGTTTTTACATTATTAATGCGGTGCGATTACACTTTTTGTGTCATTTTCTGTTTGTTCAAGATCTGAAAAGTATGTTAGAAAAATAGAAAAATGAGAATACGGAGCGGATTCTGAATATGGGAATGTCCTAAAGTTCTGTGCGCCATTTAGTTTCTTGTCAAGAGCATCTAAAAGATGGTTGGTTGCCATTTTGGAATATAGAACTTTTACAGCAGGAAGAGATAATTGGTGTGGTGAGTGTACACGTGCCATGCAGGGTGATGAGAACACTTTTTCAAGTTGGCTTGTAACCAGTAAGCTCGTTCTCCGTAATTGATATTGTGAATGATCAGTGTTTTTTACCTCTCGTTGCACTGCCGTGTTGTTGATAATTAACGTAGTCTTGTGAGAGAGTAATTGCTATGTAATTTTATAGCGGTTAATTCATAGTTTGTACTCAGGTCGTCATTAATGGTGTCAATATGTTTCAATAACAAAGTAATAATTAGCTTGCTTCTTGCTCAATCTGAGATTTAACTCCAAGAAAATAAAGAAACTAAAAGTGAAGGACAAACTATTGCAAGGTACCTTCAGGTTCATAAAAATACACGAAACGTTTACAAAGACATTAGATTTAATGATTAACTCTTTCTCTTTCTCTTTCTCTTTAACTGCTGTTATAATCTACTACTACTCCACTTCGTCGATTTTAAAACATTTTCTTTAGTTGCTTTCGGGTATTGGTTAATAAATAGTTTTAAAAACATGTACAAACATCATTTGATTTAGAATAATTGTATGAAGATCGTGAAGGCGTTTCCTAGTAGGAATACGACCACAAGTGTTTCCCGCTTTATCTACACACCTTAACGCTATTTACAGACGCAGTTTCAGATACAGACACTAAGTTGTGCAACTCTAGCTACCATTTACAAGAATTTTTGCAGTGTGTGGTTTCCAAGTGCAGTTCTTCCTAAAGATACGTCGTGCAGATTCATTCTACAGGGATGGAAAAGAATCATAGAGACGATTCAAAACTACATCTTACCATTGAAATCTTTTTTTCTAAACCATAATTTGATGATAAAAGGATGTGAATATAGTTAACTCCATACACTTTACTCTAATACGATATTGAAAAGGTTGAATAATTCCAGGTTTACTTTCAAAAAAACGTTATGTAAAAATGAACGATTGTTTCACGAAGAAATTCGAGAGATACTTAGCAAATTTAAATCATATTCAATTTTAAACTGCGTTGTCTTTGAAAGAATATTATATCATTTGAAGGATCGAAATATCAGCAAGATTTTTCCAGAAAAATTGAAAACAAATTGATTCTGACTTAAAAAAGACTGGATAAAACCTGTTAGCTTGAAGCAAAAATATCTGTAACATAGCATTTTGCCGTTTTCATGCTTTTTGAAACAGAACCGAACCGATCGAGTTTTCAAAACTTTCAAACCGAATCGAAAAAGTTTCGAAAGTTTCGATATTTTTCCGGGCGTACTACTTTATCGAATGTTAGACTGACTAAATTAAGAACGATATCTATCTTTCACGCAGTAGCACTTTTTTAGATGTTCTTTTTAAACCTCGAAGGAAAAAGTAGCTGAGGCCGAGCCTCAGCGAGTAAGAAATTTCACGAATCGAACCGATCGATTTCTTTCAAAAGTTCAAACCAAACCATCCCATCTCTGACGCCCACGAAAATAAAGAAAAACTCGAAAAAACACGACAAATAATGGTACTGACAACAAACAAGTAACGAAGCAGTGAATCAGCTGTACACGCATATCACACATATCACAGGAAGCAACCTGAATAATAATCATAATCTGAGGTGTGACAGAAAATGCGCCAATTGTTGCTAAAGATTAGATTCCGTTAGCTATTCTGTAAAACGCAACTAAGTTCCATCATCGCGTGGCAAGGTCAGGGAGATCTAATATGGTGATGAGGGCACGACTGTTTACGTCACGGTCAAAATTTCAACTTATGATACGAACTACTGAGCTCTGAACTGTTTCGAAAGGCTGTAGATGGATGGTATACTCTGAATCGTAAACTGCACAGCAACAATCTATTTTTGGCAAAACGCACGTTTTGTATAGTAATAAAAGAAGAAATTGAGGTGAATCACGCAAAATCCGATTTATGCATTCGATTATACTATTGAGACACATCGATACACCGAAATTTAGGATGTTTTGGGAGAAGTTTTCTTCTATAGCACATCGAAAACCAGCGAAAAAGAAGAGATAAAGTTCTATTTTGCCATTTTTTGTAGAGAAAAATTATCTGTACACAAGAACCTATTGCACAATTCTATATCAATCAAGTAGAGAGAAATGAATATATAATTTTAGTCTGCAAACGAACTTTACTCGTTTTCAACGTTTTTATTAACGATGTTGATTGTGATAAATCTGTTTTTAGTGTTTTAACACGATATCTGTGGTTATTCATATCTGTCAGTGGGTTTTTGCTAACATTTTAGAATGGAACCATTGTCTCTTTAACAGTTTCAACAGATAAAAGCAGATTTTTCACGAATTCCTCGCTTGAGTATTCGTGAATTTTCTTCAACTTTGGGCTGAATTTTTTTGACCATAAAACATCATCTCGAAATACCACTTTTAGGAATTGATGTACTCACCATATAGATTTATGTCGTGTATATGATCGGACTGACAAATCCTGGATTTGTCCGCTGCACGTGTTCAAAGTTGAAAACTAACCTCTAATGTTTGCTCTGCGATTTAGCACTAGAATAAGCTACAAGCTTGTGGGTTTCACTGTGGGATAGAACACAGAGTGAGGCGCCTAAATCATGTATTGATATTAAGTTTTTGTTTTCTTTTTATGGAGGTATTTTAGCGGAAGAAGTGTCAAAAATCATCATTTTGTAAGTTATTTTTCGTAAAACACGACTCGATGGAAAAAAATTTCTAATATAGAAAATGTTCAGAATAATGAGTTCTATGTATGATAGAAGTTCGAAGTTTTACGTCTTGAGAGATGACAGAGCAGTGGCAACGTCGTTCTACTCAGGAACCTCTTCGAAGCTCTCCCTGGTCTCAAACTTGATGGCAAGGCTTTGAAAACTTTTTAAGGCGATTTTTGTCATGAGCACACCAGTTTCAGCAGCCTTAAAAGTTTGAAACGATTTGGCTTAGAGTCAATACGCATACGTTACGTTTCCCAAAGAATCATCCATTGTAAAAAAAACAATCTAAATACCATAAATTAGGAAACAACCACAAAATTAAAATATTTTAAAACTCGAAATTTCGGTTATTGTGTATATATAGTGAAATGTTACTGACAGTATCCAACGTAGCCTAGTTCTGAAAAATCCTTTTATATTCCCACATCCATTTGATATTAAAAGTATTTTTCAAGTATAATTTAAAAATAAAATAAAATTTTGAATTACTGTTTAGAAACAATTTTTTTTTGTTATTTATTATTATTTCTTTCCTTTGGCCATATACAATTATTTTGTTCATTTTTGATTCCAGTCATCACCTATTCTTCTACTTTTTCTACTACACAGTTACTATTGAGAGTAATCAAGAGAATGCAACTGAATGTTGTGTGATCTTTCTTCTTTTTTTCCCTTCTACCATCGTGATTTTATAACAAAAAAAAGTACGATTGCTGTTAAAAATCAGTGCTGGTTGTCAATAGGACAAAAGAAGAATATATATGAGCTCAATATACATGTCGAAATATAATATTTTTATATACAGAAAGAGAGAAAAATAAAATTTTTACGATTTCTCACCACTATGCAACTGAAATTGATTTCTAAAAACAACTTTGATTGATAATACGTAAGTTTAAATTAATTTAAAGAACTTGAAATGGTGAGAAATTGAGTAGAGTCTTCTCATAAATATAAAATATTGCAAAAAGTTCTCGTCACTGTCGACTCTGACAACTGGAAAGTAATTAAAGTTCTTTTCGGATTTTTTCAGTTTGTAAACGAAGCTCACGTTTTTATAAAGATCATTGGCTTTTTCATCTTTTTTTTCCGAAGATAGAGTAAAAAGAGACGCATCCGTAGAGTTTTTCGTATTTTGAGCCTAGCCCGAAAACTGTCGAACATTTTCAGGAGATTTTGGCATTAGCGTGTATAAAAATGTTTGTTCTATCTTCAGGTACAATAGCAAGTTTTTTCGATCAAAAATGGCAGAAAACTAGAAGAAATACAACGAAAATTTTAAAAGGTACCTCTTTTGATCTTAAGGTACTCTATAACAAATATTTTTCGTTTTTTAGTTCAACGTTAGAAAGATGACATCTTATCTCGGTCCAGAAAGTCCACGCCCGTATTCGGTTGCAGCCGAATTTTATTTTAATTCACTTCAACATTTACCATCAATTTATTCAACAACAAAAGATATTCAACAATATCGACCAACAACATCCACTTCTCATTTTGGTTCAACGTACGAAAATGAATTTTGTTTCTATATAGCTAAACATGCTGAGTTGAATTGTAACGACAATATCTGCTGTATTACGGATGAATGTGCTTGGCCGGAAATAATACAAGAACGTCTTTTTATTATTAAAAAGATCACTCATATCAACAGCAATGTATTACAAAATGAGGGTGCGTATAGAAAAGGTTTACGCTACTGTAAGCTATTTTGTCTTTATTTCATATTCTATAGAAACTATTGAGTTACTTACATCAAACACATTTGATCGTATTATTCTCATCCATTGTTTGCACTCGTTAAATGATTTAACGACTCATTTTCCCGCTATACGTCAGTCATTGAAACCAAATGGACGATTGTTAATTATACACCGAGATTTAGCAATTAATACATTACCATTACCAAATGAAGTATTAACAACATGGTTAAATAATACAAATTTTCACGCAACAAAACTCATCGAAGATTTACAACGAAATAAAGGTATGAGTTTATTATGGGAAATTGAAACCATACGATTTTTATCGCATAAAATTAAATGGTTTACGTTGTTATATAACAGAAGTTTTTATCCATTGAATATGAGTACTATGAAACAGATCACAGATGGTTTACGTCAATTGAACGAGAGTTATTTCAAATATCAAAATGGACCATTAGAATTATATGATCGTTTATTATTTTTATCGTTACAAGTCGAATCGGTTAAAACGCCGCCGATTACTCAACTTCTTCCATCTATCAAGAAAAAACTACCAAAAATAACAGTTGCTGCAGCAATACTTGAACCACATGAAACATGGGACTACAAATTATTAGTAACAGATGAAGTGACAGAATTACTTAATATACGAAAACAAAAGTGGATTAAACCACGAAATTTATTTGAATCGTCAATTAGTTTTTCTTAATAGATCGCAAAGAATGGAATAACGACGATTATTATTCAGTCATGGAGAGAGTCTTAATCTAATTCTTTATTATATCAGGTATATTTATTTGAACAGACATTTTTCTCCCTCTCATACTGTAGGCTCGAACGATTGATCAGTCACTTCATTTTAAAGAAAACAAAAATAAAATAAATGCATATAACAACAATAAAAAAATGAATTTATCATATTATTGCTTCCCGTACAGTAATGAAAAAATGGTATGTATGTGTTAGAGGTCAACGGTAGACTAACTTTCGGTCCCTCGTGAGGACCATTCCATAAATTTCTTGCCTTGTCAAGTTTCCAAAAAGTCTCCTTTGTGAGGATCACTCGTAAACTTTCTGCCCCGTCACCGCCTCGTCCGTCGTCAACTCTGAAAAATATTTTCCATTAGGGCTTTCTTACTGATCCTCTTAGGTCAGAGAAAACCACAACATACGCCAGTTATTTTTCCACGTTAGTTCACAAGAAGAACCATTATCTTTATCATAAAAATAGAACACACATCAACATAGAGACGTACTAAATGCATATATTTTTGTTTCTTTTAATTGTGAATCTAAAAAAATTCAGTGCATCGTCTACATTCCATCCTTTGTCAGCAAGGAAATATATTCCCTGCAAGGTTGATCCCGTGCCTTGTCAAATTTTCAAAAAAAATGGTTCTCGCAGGAGTTGCCCCATGATTCCTCACAGGAATCCTCGTCCATCATTTACCTCTGGTGTATGTGTGTAAGATAAAAAAACATTTATATATACGCTAGACAAATAAAATGAAATACAGAAGAAAAATTTGAGAGAAAATGTGTCAGCCTGTTAATTAAAAAATAAAATAAGAACAATTCGAACTATACGATAATTTCTGATTACTATTCATATCAAAGTTTGACGAAATATCTCTGGAGAAAAGGGCATTTTCAAAATTTACATATTCAAAATCAACGTGGTCGATTCCGTTGCACGGCGCAAAGCTCTCATCGGGGTATAGAAAGCTCGAGGTGGCTTCACTTATACTATAGTCATGCACGGTATCTAATATTATAGTTAGTACTATAGTTTAACCTACGAATTTAAAATATGTCGCTTTTTCTTTCTCCTTTAATTTCACTTTTCTCCCCTTGTAACCTTTTTTCTTCTATATGTAGATCTGTACTTTAGACTTATACATAGTTTTAGTTTTTAGCTAATCATTGACTAAAAACTAAAACTATGTATAAGTCAAAAGTCTCACCTTATGTTCAATTTGTTTCTTCATTACAACTCTAGTAGAAATGAACTGTATTAGGGAGCATAATAAGAATCTTTTATTGCCATACGAAAAGTATAAAAACAAAATGTTGGGCATGCTCTACAACTAATGGTACATGAAGAGATAAATTTTTTTCTAAATATATTCTGTTGTATAATATTTATTCGCATCTTTTTTCAGTATCACATGTAGCGGATTGAATGTTGTTTTTTTTGGTTGATTATAAATTACACTATTCTCAACATGTTTTTCTACTATTTGACGATTATCGCCTTCATTTTCACTTGCTGTAGCATCAATTAATGTTGGATAGGCGCTTGTCACTGTTGTATCACCTTTGTTATGAGGTGATGACAGCGGCTCTAATTGACTTTGACGTCGTGAGTTAACATCAAAAACCGATGGTGGTGGTGTATGGGAGATATCGTTCGATAGTAACGTTGGCGGCGTTAGTGGTGATGATGCTCGAGTATTGTCTAATGTTTCTGGATTTTCTACTGGTAAAAGAGGAGTTATTTCCGTATCAATTTTATCCGAAATTGTAACAGCAGTATTTGTCAAATTCTCTAGTTCACTTAACGGATTCACAACAATTTGAACAAGATCGTCACTATTATCATTTACTTCCTGAGTGATGTGAATGGGCGAAGAAGGTTGCTCGAGAGAAGGATTAATTGATATAGTTTTAGTCAATGTTTCAACTTTATCTGGTAAATCGATACCGTATATTTTTGCTTCTTTGATTTTATCGACTGTCGCTTGTTGATCAGTTAACTCAGCACCGTATACTCCGCTATCTACACTTACAATAGGTTTGAGTGATGGTGGTACAGCAGATGTCATGATTGCTGTTCCTGCTGCTTCAGAACCCGTTGAACTAACTTCTTTTAATTGATGACTGGAAGTCGTCGTTGTTGCCGCATTTCCGCCTACAGGAGTGGTCGTCGGCTTGAAACGTGATGAATTTAAATCAGATATCTGAACAGTTCGCTCAGGTACAAGTTTACGCTTTTGAGCTTGAGCACCGCTTGTTGGTGATGAGTCTAACATTGGAGTTTTATCGGATGGTGTTGGAACATGTTTTTGATTCGTATTGTTTTTAGTCGTAGCAGCTGATAATGGTTTTTTTGACGCTGTCACATTTTTTGAAGCAGACGATGAAGATGTTTTTACTGATGATTGTCGTCTACAAAAGCAAGTCATTTATGAAAATATGAGCGAGTGATTTTAATTTGATTCCCTCCTTTAAAAATCTCTGAAGAATGAGGTGACTTAAGTTCGAGAAGGAGGTGCATCGACTACGCTGAATACTGGTAAATACCTTTTGAAAAATATTAACAATACTATTCCGATTGCAATAGCCACAACAAGCGTTCCAATTCCAGCAATAACTCCAATAATTATTTCTAAAAATAAAGATAAAATATAGTAGACAAACCTAAAACTATCATCAACGATTATATACCTTTTTTGTGAGATTTTTTTGTTATTGTTTGGTTTTTATTTGCGAATTCTTCTACTATTCCGAATACTGTTGTTGTTATCGATGCTAGTGAAAGTATGGGCGTTGTTGAACTGGGCAAGATTACATGATCATAGTTACGCGAAGTCGATGGTACAACTGAAAGTGTAAATAAAGAATTAATAAAGAAATTATCTAAAACATGTATGTACTGCACCTTTGTAACGAATTTTAAAATGACGAGATTTTGATGATAAAGTCGTCTGAAGTGACATATAAACAGAATTTGATGGAATTATATAACGTGCAGATGATAATGGATGATTTGATGATCGTTCATCACCACACCATGTATGATACCATTTCCAAATGGCACCATTTTTTCCATTCTGATAATGATTGTTGTTATTTGTTAATGAATCATTACTATTGCCTCCATAACCAAATATTTCCAAGTATTCAGTATGACATTTGATTGAGTCGTGTAATTGTAATTGTAATGGTGCTAGTTCGATGTGCATTGAATGCTCAGCTTCTAAAAAAAACGAGAAAAAAAATGTGTCATACCAAAAAACTTAAAGAAAAAAACTGTCCAACCTATACTAATTGAACATTTTAAATTGTCGGCCATTGGATATGGATAGGCTAGAAAAAGTGTTAGAAAACAAGAACTTATTTTCAGCGAATTAAACAATATATGTATCCTTATAATTTACCTGGAGAAACAATAAATCCGTATAAAGTGTTTCGAACAGTTTCTTTATGTTGACAAAGAGTATAAACTAAAATAAAATGAAGAAATAATATTGATGTTAATGTTATCACATTAGATTGTTGATAGAAGCATTCCTAGTGAATGATGAAAGAGTCTGGAACCCACTGAAACTTTAATTAAAGTATTTTTCTTTTGTATGTGTCTTATATTCGACAATCAATTACACAGTCGAATATTCATTCATGTGAACTGTCCATTTTTGCACTCTGTTTACTTTCTCTTTAATTAACCATAGCCATGAAAAAGCTTTAGAACTTGAAAGAGATAGGCTTGTTCATTCATGAAAATTTACAAGACTGTTGGTGATTAATAATGGTACATCTAACTGGTTTTATATAAATTAAATTAAATTGATCTATAGTGTCTAATAATTAAACGCAAAAATGTAAACATATTATTCAAATCAACTTCGTCATAATGGTACTTCTCTGATAGAGACGATAGTCTACTGAATTACATGAAATGCCTACACTATAAAGAATAAATAGGTAAATAATCTCATCTATCATTTCGTAAAGTATTAATAGAGAATCAAGACTTAGTATAGCTTCTTCATAATACATTATCAGTATCCATAAATCAACAGATTAATTTTAATCACATGTAGAATAATTAATTAAGCGAGAAATTGGTCATGTTTTATGTCAAAAAAAAAATATATCAATAAATAATTCTTTTTCTAGAAAAATAGTAAAATTATATAGACGATGTTCTAAAGTAGTTAATTTTTTGTTGTTTTTTTTTCATCGAATTAGTAGTTATGATTTAATTAATATTTTGTCAAAAGTCAATAAAAACATGTCTACCGTTTATCTAACTTCCATAATTTATGACAAGAACATACTTTGCATACAGGTATATTTTACGAAAAAATATGTTGGAGCTTGTCTTTCGCCATCTTTACATAAAACATAATCTGTTGATGATATATCAATTGTACAACTATGGTTTCCTTCACATTGTGTAGCATTAATGTTATTTTGACAATGAATTAAATATTCTGTATGAACATCTGGTTCACAACGTTTTGTACGCCGATAGACTTTTTTTACAATAACATCTGTTAATAATGCATCGTCATCAGGACAAGTTAATTGTTGTGGACCTTCTAAAACATATGTAAAAATATTGTTGATATTCTATTATATACTCCTACAGAGATTTTTGAACTACACACATACACACACACGTACCTTGAGTTGTACACCAAAATTTTTCATATGTTTTCGTTAATACTATAAAATGAAACCAGATTAATGTATACATAGTAGATTTAAATTATCTTGTTCCTTTTTATTTTTATCATACCTAACGAACAGCACATAATGAGTGCCAGTAGTATAATTCTCCATACCATCCTACATGGGTCCAATTTTAAATTGCTGAAGATTAATATTAATCATTACAAAATTCTAGAATACAGAAACATCTGAGACTCTTATCACTCTTAATAGTAATAAACAAGGAATATATATATATATATTTATCGACTAATATTCTGATGACAGAATCTATCGATCGTTAATGTATTTCTCAGATGATTGTACACAGTCACGTGAAAACAATTTGATATTTCGAATAGTTACTATGAGACAAATCTCCTTTTGTATATAATAGAAATTTTTCAAGTGTTATTCTATATCACGTTGTTATCTTGATACCACACATCATTTGTTATTTGATATCTCCGTTTCAAGATTTTCTAGCCTAGAGAAGTAGAAAAATATACAATAGTATATACTATTTACTATATATATAATAATATATATGTATATATTATAGTTGTCGCTGGTGACATTAATTATTATTTAGTTGTGATATAAATGATAAGTGAAAATACTTAAACGGCATTTTTTTAACACATGTAAAATATAAATGAAATACTTTGACAATTATTTAACAAAAGAGAAGTACTCTACACTATGTATAAGCATTTTTAAGTATTCATTATATATAACTACATACCACCGATGTACATATATAGAACTATCAACGAATTACACTCTATATTCCCTTCTCTCTTTATCTCTCTCTCTCTCTCTCTCTCTCTCTTTCACTGTTCTCATTTTTAATCATTATCATCTTTCAGATCGCTTCTTACAGAATAAATTTGTTTGTCTATTTATCTATATCTACGATATATGAGATATTTTTAAAGAGATGACGTGTCTAATAACTTTTAAGCTATTAATGAGATACGATACTAGCAACACTCCATTTGACAATGACACATGTTGAATAATGCTCAATTTGACATAATACAAAATTACCTCCGCTATCACTACGATTGCTACATCATTTGTATCGAGAAAGTAGACAAGAAAAAATAACAATTGTGCGTGCGGTTGATTTCTTGTCAATCATATAAATACTTCTTTTTTCCTTCTAATAGTAATAATTTGACTTAGGAACGTTTATTGTTATTATTATTATTATTATTATTATTATTATTAGCGAGGTTTACGGCTAATTAAAAATGCAGAAAAAATAGTATGACATACTGAACTTCATACGTGAAAAAACATTAAAAATCTCATTTTTTATTTTATCATTCACCTTTAAAACTAAATTTTCAAGAATTTTTTTCTTCAAAATTTTAATTAGATGTTTAATCTTTTTACAAGGATGTGTTACATTCCTCTTTCAATTAGTTCTAATTTTTCCTTTTACTTCATTGAACTTACAATGTAAACTTTCTAGCGGTGTATTTATGTTTAATGAACTGATTAACACCAACTCTTGCTTCACAACTCTATTGTTTATACTAAAAATTAGCTAAAAAAATGGTATCAATTGAATAGATGTAATATTTCTAGATAACATACATACTTGAGGGTTAAATATAATATAAATAGTGTAGTTTTGTTGTGAAAAAAAAAATTCTGATCGCAAACTGTTATCTTACCTTTCTATTATCCGATATTTCTTCTTCGTGTTTCCATGTTTATTATTATGTGAAATATAAATTCGTTTTAGTGTCGATTAGAAAGAGAGAAAATGACCAAAATATGGAACAAATTTTTCTCTTCTTTGTATGATTTGTTTAAAATTATATTCAATGTTCGCTGTTTTTTTGTCGTTTATTATGATAACATTATGATCAATATGGTTATGATTACTAAGCATACAACAAAATCATTCATCTTTATGTATGTGTATATTTCTAGTCCCATAGAGAGAGCAAGAAAGATCTGTGTATGAATATACACAATATACAAATTCTATCTATCCTAACCTATATTCGAAAACATGTACAGATGATGATTTGACACTAATTTACATAATGAATATAGTTGTTTTTATTATGGTATATAGAAAGAGAGAAAATGATATGTACCAAACGTATATGAAACAAATGATAACGATTCCATTCTTTTACGGTTTTAAAGACCCAGGGATCCATGTATTAAACAAACAATGAATTAGAAAAAAAAGAGAGACGTTTATTATGAGATGTCACTTGAATCAACATTGAGAAAAACAATTATAGTTTGCATAACTTCTATGAAAGCTGTCAAGCGTTGTACAAGAACAGGGAACAAATAATCAAACAGAAGTTCTATTTCATCTTGCTGATCTTACCAAAAGAAAAGAAGAAAAAAAAATATCGAAGGATGAAACAATAAAAATTGTTTTATAAATAAACATGGGTAAAAAAAAAAAAAACAGCATATTTTACTGCTAGCTTGAATAATTAGCTTCTTTCTTACTTTTCAAGACAAAGATGAATACATGATGATCGATGTAGTTCAACAAAGTTTAATCCATGTAATCAATCTTTTTTTTTTTCTTTCGAAAATGGTAGCTAATATAAAACAGCAAGTGCTCATCCGTAGGAAAGAGATTTGTCAATTTTTTTTTTCTTCTTTTTAGATCTCGTATACAGAAATCTTTTCTATTTCTATTTTTTTTTTGTTCTTCTTGAATACAATACTTCGTACAGTTATTTACAGTCAATTTAGTTTTTTTTTTTCAGATATGTTGAATGACATTTTTTTCCTGTTATTGTTGAAGTGAAATCAAATATATTCGGTTCCTATCGATAAGTGACTGATGAGTTTCTCATAGTTAATTCATGCTCTATAGTCCTCGTGTCAATATTAATTACACACAAAATTCGAGTTCGTATGAAAGAAAATGAACTTTACAATAATACACACAAAAAAAAGGAAAAAATTTGTGATTAAAAATTATCCATGACATTAAAATTAGTCTTTTCATTTCAGTGAACAGTGTGCATTAGCAATTGTAAATAGAAAATATTATTCTTTCTTGTTTTCAAATACACGCAACGAACGTGGGTGATAGAATAAGCTCATTATACTGCCTTTTCACAATAAAAACAACAATCATAATAATAATTATTATTTACACACATAGTCTGATATACAAACCTATTTTTATGAAAAAATTTAAAATAATTAATATTGTCAAAAGACATCCATCTATATTAGTGATATTACAAAAACAGTGGCACATACATATAGGAAAGAAGAAAAAGAAGAAGAAAAAAAATGTGGTTTCAATACAGAAAGAGCAAATTATGTCTTTTAAAGTTCACACGTGGTAAAAAGATCACGAATCTTCAAAAGATAGAATAATTTTGTCCTATTCTATAAAACGATACAATATTACATTCAACTAGTTAACTGTCTATCATCTTAAACTTTATGAAAACTTACAAGATTTTTCTTACCGAATCAAATATTTCATGTAAACTGATCATCATCATTAAAGAGGTTGTCAAAAACGATACATTATCGATAAATGTAATTGAAATTTTTATGTTTAAACTATATAATATTGACTAAAATCTTTTCTTTCCTTTATCACATCAAGACATACGTTTTTTAACTTATAAAAATGACTTATTATTGTTGTTTTCTTGCTTGTCATCAATAGTGTCATCAATAGAATAAATAGTTTATTTCGTCATCATTAGGGATTATTGTTTATTTAATATAGTTTGTTCTAAATCAGGTACAAATTACTTTTGGTGTATTCTTCTTCTTTTGTTTTGAAAAACTTTTCATTTTTTTTTTCTTTTTGACGTATTTTAGTAGTTCAAACAGTTTGTGGTAAAAGAAAAACCATTTTTTTTTATGGAAAGTCTCCTAGTCTATTCTTCGTTTTTTTTTTCTTCTTCTTCTTCTTTGTCAGTCTATAGAGAAAGGAAAAAAAAATTTTGTTTTTTCTTCTTGTAAAAAGAACACATTTCTTCACGGTTAACATTACAAGAGATCTTTCTCTCAATGAAGAGAGAAGAGGAAAATCAATGAGTAGAAAGAACTATTGTCATCTATTCTAATACATGATAATAATATATATTTGTACTTCTATTTGAAAAAAACCGAATTAATAGAAAGATTTGTACTATCAAAAGAGAGAAAACAAGAGAAGAAGAAAACAAAACATAGAACTTTTTCCAGTTATTTTTTTTTCTAAGAGAGAAAGAGTAGATAGTGATAATATAATGTTGTAAAAAAAAAAAAAAAGAAGCGAAGTATTCATAAGAGGAAATAAATGTACATGTACTAGACGAATGACGATGATGAAAATATTTGTCTTCAAGCTAAAAGTAGAAGCGAGAATTTAGATCGTATTAAAATAGAGTTATACATCATATTTCAGATTAAATATTGAAATTAAGTTTTATTGCCATATATTTTCTTGAAAAATACTTATTTAAAAAAGTCGCATTCAAAAATCTATCTGTATATTCCTCTCTAATTATGTCAAAAAAAAAGAAAAAAAGAAGAGCTTCACCAAAAAAAAGAAAAATATGCTTTCGATATGAATTCCTTATGATCATTTTCTTTTTTTTCTTCTTCTCTTTGTTTATTATGAAGAAGAAAATTTCATTTATTCGTTGTTCATGAAATTTTTTTTGTCATTTTTTTTTTTTATGCCACTTTTTACTCGAACAACAACAAACAATAATGAAACAAAGATTTGGACTATCATTTTTTTTTTTTTGTTTTGTGTTCAACGAAGAATATGATCTATACTAAAAATGTAAAAAATAGGAAATCATGGTGATAGATCTTCGGGGGTGAAGAAAAAAAAAAAAAAAAGGAAAAGAATTTGTTTAAACGTCTCGCGGTTTAAAAAAATGAGATTCGCTGCGAATGACCTTGATTTAATAATAAAGAAAAAAAAAAGAATGAGAAAATTAGTATATAATATATAGACATAAGAAATTGTTTTGTCATTATTGAAATGAATATATGTGACTTTGTTCTCTTTATCAGTAATATTAACCGAAT